TTAGAGACAAATGAGTGTTATATATTAGGTTAAAGAATTAGGATTTACAGTTGGACGTTAGGGATAGAAATTCAATTTAATGTTTTCATTACGAACTGGCATCAGCTATAATGCCAAAATGGTATATAGTCAAAATGAGTGAATGAATTTCGCGCCAAAACAAAAGATCTGCTAAGTTAAATCTGATCGTTTCATCCATAAATTATAGTCTTACCGAATAAACTTTTATTTTCGACCCATGGGAGATATAGAAATGAATTATGTGAAAAGTTGATAAGTGAATTGGAATGAAAAGCTATATTATAAGACTATATATATATGTAATATCATATTATATGATGACTAAACTATAAAGATAATAATAAATGCATAAATCAGACTGAAGTAATTCATAAAGTTTTACAGTTATGTGCAATAAAATTTTGATTACATAATTTGTTACGTATTTACCATGTAATTTTCAAAGTAAAATGATTATCATTGGAAATAAAATACACAGTGATGTCTGGGAAATTTGAAAGCTGACACTTGCTAGAATTTATGATGATTTCGATTAGGAAGTATCCTATAATTAATTCCTGTAGGGTTATAATCATTCAGAAAAACATGACACCTACTTCAGTTATGTAGGGAGTTATAGTTATACAGTATTATAGGCTTATTAGAAATGTGTGGACTGTTTGTTCAATGTCCACAGAAACATTTTAAGACTTTCAGTTATCCTTTAGATGATAATGCTAAAATTTTACTTTGAATCAGTCAATTATTTAGAACTATCAGCTAAAATTCCCTAATACAACTGTATTAAGACTTTGACTATAATTGACATTTTTTAAAATTATCTAAATAGAAACTTCGATTTCGAAATTTTACAGAACTCTTTTAATGAGTGTTATAACTCGATTGACCAACACTTACTATATACGATAGCTTTAACAAAGAATCAGAGTATCACCTGAACTTTATGAATGAGGAACAAACTGTAACTTGTCAAATATTTTTGAATTTGGAATAATGAACTTACGTACAATGAATTGAGGGAAAATATTGCTAATAATAGTCAAAGACTAATTTTCAATAAACAACTATTGACCTGGTGTGGATGATAAATGAGAAATTCTGAGGATTTACATACTGAGATCAAACAGCTATTGAATGTTTTCTGGTTTTTACTGACTGTTAAACTAACATCGATTCGTGATAGAAACTACGAAATTCAACAATCTTCACACAGCCCCGCTTAATAATAATATTAAACTGGCGACTGTGAAATAGTATTAGTAGTCTAGATTAGACATTTTTAAAATTATACTCATTGAACTATAATACTTAATGTCGATGGCTAAGTTCGAAAACTCTTAAGTTATCAGTCATATCCTTTGGTTAGTTGAACAGGAAAGTGATTATTGATCAAAATTCGTAGCCCAGTTGACAAAGAGTTGAATAGTTAGATCGAAAGTTAAGGTTCGAGGTTGTTTAAAATTAATAATTCTATGGGATTAAGTTAACAGTTCTAATAATTTAAATTTATCATTTTGATTACAACTAGTTTCAATAATTCATTAGAAGAGTTAATGAACATTTAAACGTCTGAAAACTTTTCAGTTTATTTGTAGAACAGGATGAATTAGTGATATAATAGGCCGATGGTATGAAATCGATACTAATAGTCTTCCAGTCACAATAAATAGTCATTTAAAGATAATAGCTGTTCAGTTTTTAGAAGAATATTTTCTATACAAGGTGAGAACATGATTTTTTAAGTAAGGATGTTTTAATTGAGATCATAAATCGATCGATGTTAGACGATCATCGAAAACCTAGAAGCAATGGACGGCCGTTTTGTCAAAACTCAATAATCTCCGTAACCCTATACTGATAAGGATGTTTTAGTGAAAATAACTTTGAACGGAAAATAAAATCAATTACTCAAACTACTTATCAGTAGGCAAATTTATTATGTATACAAAGGAAATCACAAGTTTTACAAGTGGGGATTTCCATTAATTTATTTATTGATGTGGACCGTATGTAGTATGGACAAAAATTTATTATCTTCAACTTACTAACTAGCTGGAGAAAAATAAAACGAAACGTAACAACTTAGGTTTATTTTACGTAAATAAGCTAGAAACCTCCATTCTCATAATAAATTTCATGAGATTCGTCCAGTATTATCTTAGTGTACGACAAGTAATTTCAACTTTTTAAAATAGAAATACTAAAGACGATTGTCAGAAAATATTAAATTGTTCATCAACTTGACTAGTAACGGCGTAAATTAGGGAAATGATTTATCGTGATAAATGTGTAGATGAGGTGGAGGGAAATGTTAAAGCATACAAGGGATGCTTAATAAAATTAATATTTATTCATGATAAAACTAATTTATCCTCATATTAAGAAAACTCCAACACACAGATTTAAAGTTGAACAAATAGCTACGTCCCATCTCTTCAGTCTCTGAAATATCTGTACTAGTGGTATAACAGTTTATTTGCTAATATCAATTACAAGCGACAAACATTTGTAGTGAATCTTATGGTAAATTCAGTCAACTCATTTGAATATACTTATCTAGTGATTTCGTATTTGTCAGTAATAGATTGTGGAGATCATTGGGAACACGAACCGACCTTAAGTTAGACCACCGTTGAAAACTTGGAAGAATCGGATAGCCGTCTCATCCTAGTATGTAACTCCTCAGCAGTAAGTGTCCACAATCCTGGACGCAAGATCTTCGGCACCTCTCGTGAATGCTTAATCTCTAATCCACTGAACCGGGATCCAGCGGTGTTAAGGTCTAACCTTAACCAATCCACGATATTACGCGACTATCTCCCATTGTCTTAGACATTAACACAGTTTAATGCTGACTCAATGGTCCATAGGTTAAACATTCATTGGCGAGACCGAAGGTCTTGGGTTCGATCCCCATGTGCAGGAACGGGCGTGCGCCCTGACGAGGAGTTTCACGCTAGGAAAAAATGGCTGTCTAATGCTTCCAGGTTTTCATTTGTGGTCTAGGTTAGGTCGGTTCATGATTTTATTGAGATTCAGCATTCATTTAAAACATTTATTTGCCTGGTTGCGAGATTTAATACTACACACTTTTATTGAAATGCAAGAAAATAAACTGCAATCCCTCAGTCGAATTCTTAAAAATAATGGAAAAACCAAAGCAAATCTATGAGTATTATTATTTTGGAAACAAAATCAGAATTCATACCGACGTCGACCAACCTGCAAAGGAAACAATTTCATACATACTTTACTCCTTACAATCAGAACAAGTGTAAGCTTCGAATTTGTACTTGATCTTTTGAAACTGAAAAATTTTGCCGAAAAAACTTCCGGCCTGTTTGTTTTGCTATTGCAGAGACAATTTATCATAGACATAACCACTAAAAACCAACTAACATGTATGATGTAAAACGGATATTATATCTTTGACAAATCATAAGATAAGCAAAATGGTTAACTTCCAGAAAAATGTTGCAGAAAAGCACTAACAACTGGTAACCTTCGAAAACATTCACGACCATCAGGATCAACATGAAGAAAATCTAAATTCAAGATGTTTTGTAACCTTGTATAGCCAAACAGAGAGCTATACAAAGTAAAATCAAATGTGATAATTTATGAATTATTACACTTTTAATCGTCTAGCGAGCACAGAAAACCATAAACCGAGACAGGCGATATTTCCATGTTTGGCAATAGTAAAAATAAAGATAGTAGGAAAAGGGCAGTGGTCGGCAACAGGATATATGTGGTCAGTAACAGAATCTACGATATTCAGAAGATAAAGAAGGTATACGTTTCTGCTACTGTCATCTAGAGTATCCAGGAGCTCAGGATGAATCAGTAAACATCTTTGGAAAATACAGCGCCGCAAACGACTAAAGAAACAAGGAAAAATATTCTCAACATTTAAAAGTGTCTATCTACTCTATGCAGCATTGTCTAACGACTGTTGCCACCAAGTTATGCAACCTGACAGAATTCAGCTAATATACGAACATAGCTCACAACGAAAGTCAGTGTTTCTGTGAGTTGATATCTTTTTCTGATTTACTTCTACTTCAGATAATACTGCATGCTGTAAGTTAGCCACGCGGCTGGGTGACCAATACCTGTTATTTCTATTGAAGAATATTCACAATACCACTGACTAGCTTCGTTTTTCCCCAGTCTCTCTACACTTAACTTCACCGTTAATTGTGTAGCTTATGACAAAGGAGCACTTTTCAGAAGACACTGGTGATCAGAAACATAGTTTCATATTATTTGTCTAAACAGACGAACCTTAAGTTTACGCAACAGAAAATCTTACGCTGCATCTATCACTGATGGTAAACATTCCTAGAGATAACGGGTGAAAATCAGTATTGAGCTCTGCACAAGCATCAAACATTCACAATTAGACAGTACGAGTTAGGTTATCCACCACATACCTGAGGATGAAGCATTCTGTATCCGATGAGAGCAGCACTGTTACTGTTTGGCAATAAATAAATGCAGCTAAAGGATTATTCCTAAATGGTAGAAACTATCATAACCAAGCAGAGTCACTGAATTGAAAGTGTCTAACTTGTACTCAACAACCACTTTCCATAAATTGTCATTCCTGGCCACACTGATAAAACTAGGAAAGTGAAATTTCACCTAGTGTGACAATCACATTATTCGCATTATTCTAGGTGAACTGAGTTTGTGTTTTACAATAACTCGGTGTATCTTCCCCATTCATATGATGTTTATTAACTAATCACCAAGTATGTGCAATATAAATATATAAATGAGGGTATTTGATTTAACGAAAATGTGAATTTGGATGACTTGTTTTAGGAAAGTCAATAAATCTTTATTGCACAAGTATTTTGTGCTCTGGGAATTATAGTGGTTCCCATTTTCAAGTATTAGCAGTAAGACCTCAGATAAAACAGAGCCAACGCGTGCATAGAAGAGGTGATAAAGGGATAACAAAAACCCAGATATTTCTCAATGCAAAAAATGAATAATTTTATATTTTATCTTATCATAATACAACAGAAAATACAATACACTGAATAGCTAAATCAACAAACCATATACAATTATAATTTATTCATTCAAAGATCCTACCAACCACACATATTTATATCTTGGAAGAAAGTTCCGATACAAAAGTCATATAAAAAAAAACCGAATCTTATAAATTAAGATTATTTACAAAAATGTCTTATCAAGATCACATTAACTAAGGTAATCTGATTCGTCTGAATGATCAGATTTTGTATCTGTTGTCCTTCTGTTAGCATTTGCCAAGGTACCAAAATAAACAGTCAAAGCTTTGCTTTTGAAATTAATCAAGTTCAATTCGAATTCAATGTCTAACGAATCCATTTTAATTTCTCTAATACATTTGGCTGAAATTTCCAGAAAATCTGCCATATTTGTATTACGAGGCAAAAACAACGCTACATTCCCATTGGTCAGCACCAGAGCTAAATACAAAGCACACCATAAATTTGTGTTGGAATTTTGAAATTTTATACTCGATAAGTTAAAACTTTCATGTTCTAAATAACTAGGTCCGCCCCATGGTGGTGACATTAGAGCAGCAGTATATCCAACGTTGTTGGTCAAAGCGGATTGAGAAACGAAATTTGACTGAATCTGCTTCCATGCCCAAGTAAAATAATCTTCACAAACAAATTCAATAAGATGGCGAACGCCATAAATTTCCGCATTATTTGCAGCCATTGAAATACGAATTGGATCGGATTCAATCGCAATCACTAAAAGAGGTTGAAGAAGTAAACTTTATACTCAAATTTAAAAAATTCCCAACTTTCTGTTGTCTGTACTACAAATAAAAAGGTGGATTAAATAGACAACACGTGATCAACATTACAGTCAGAATAAAGGAAAAACAACCAAAGTTGATGGGTAAGATGTCCTAGACTCGCAGAGCAGAAGTACTTTTGAAAAAATGTAGTTATTATTCTAGGAATAAACATCACTGTCTAATTATCGTTTCTGAACACAGATCAAAGGTCACACAGGAAAAAGTAGTTATTCGAACTATTTAGATGATGATGATGATGAATATTTCATTCAGGTTTCCTGGAACTTGGATAGTTGATTTACTAAATATATGAGGTAATTTCAGTGTAATCTCCCGTTCTACAGTTATGATCGCTGGTTTAAACAAATAATTCACTGGACAGTACTTGTTAGTAACTTCCATGAACTACGATACTTGGTCAGTTGTTGCCAACTAATGACCAAACTATATTAAATATTATTTTACAGTGGGTGATAGTGAGATGCAAGAAGCGTATTTTGTCTTGCCCAGACATAACAATATATGTTGGTATTCCTCGTGGGGCTCAAACAACATGGACACTACTGTTTACCACTATGCTACTAAGATGCCATCAAAAACCTTGGTTTAACGGACGTTAGTTGTTATTAAAGTTCAGAATTTCTTGTTATGAATCTGTAGGACCGTAGTTATCTGTTGTCAGTATACAGGTTAATTTTACTAATGTCTTGAAATTTTAATTTAATATATTATTAGGTGGATTATGTTAAAGTAAAATTAGTGTTGTTTCTGTTTTCCTACGGCTAGTTTTGCATTTGAGTCCTCGGCAATACGGTACTCAATTCTTGGTCAAAAAATTGGCCATCTTCACGGAAAATGAAGAGAATCAAAAGAGATAACCATCACACAGATCTGGGAACTCAAAAAGCTGTTTTCAACTCACTTAAGGTAAATTTCGTTTAAATTATAAACCATGCTTAAGATGAATTTTATCTAAAACTCAGAGACAGCTACATCTTGGTAGTAATACTCACATGAACGTAGAAAGTACTTTAGGTTAGAGATAGAATTAAGAGGATTTTGACTCGATAAGAGAATATTATAGACTAGACAAGTATCGATTAATAAGTTGAAGAAACAAAGTGAAGGTGATGAATCATCTGAATTTCGTACTAAAGGTAGAGTTATGGAGACCATGAGAATTAACTGATCTGCTAATAAACATCAGATGTGATTTATTATCAATGATAACTCAGTTAAGTAAGTAGTTTGGACCGTCGACTTGCCAAAGGATGAAATTGTTAAATTTGATAAAACTAGTCTCAAGCTTTGTATATTTATTAAAGGATTCAAAACGAATATTAGAGATAAAATCAGTGGTAACGAACAGTAGTTAACGTACTCGTTGCATTATTATGAACGGCAAGAGGAGCAATAAAGGACAGTGTTTTGCCACCAGGTGAAAGATACAATAAAGTAATGGGGATTCTGTGAGTTTATTTCATCGGGCCTTTCTAGTCAATTTACTGGTAAGCTTATTTGTGCAGCTAAAGAATGTAACAGTATTTCAAAAGCTTGTAAGACAAATGAAGAACTGTGAGATGATCTTGTCGAAAAAACGGATTGAGAAGAGGATTTAAACCGTTATGCTAAGATAAACTAGTGATTCAGAGGCAACCCCGTATTGATAATGACATTCTGATGAAGAGACCAGAACATAACTTTCACAACTTACTTGAATTTCCAAGTAGAACAAATAACTTGTTTTTAGTTCGGGATGTTAGGCATAACTTAATCATTTGGTCAAAACATAGTAGATAGTCTACGATTAGGACATTAATTTTTAGCAATCCACCACGGATTATCTACAATACTGTATTGAGAGAAAGTTGATATAAAATACCATTATATAAGATTCAACAAATACAATTACGATCTACATTAAGAAGATGGATAACACATTACCTCGAAATCCACGTAACGCGAATTGTATAGCATTTGATCCAGTACCACAGAAAATATCCAAGACTGTGTAACTTCCTTTTGTCCAAGGCGTAAAAACTCGATATATACGTTTGGCCTGGTGAGCAGCAATTACTTCAGGAGTAGCACTGAATAATGAATCTACATAGGTTAGTAAATAAATAATAAGTAAATGATTGCCGTATGAATCAATATTATGCATTCTCGGGTCATCGTTTACTTATTTTGGTTGAGTATAGTAAAACTAATTGATCAAAATGAACTTACCACAATCGACCTGAATCCCAGAATCAAAACGAGAGAATAGACGAAATCTTTGAGCCCAATATTTATCCATTGAAGGGTCAAAGGTAATGCACATCAGCTGTTTGGACTCACATGCTAATTTAGGTACAGGTGGATTATAACGCCAAAAGAAGCGACAGTTGTATAAAAGGGCTGAGAAAAAAGACAATAATTATAAGATGATTACACTAAAATTTAAGCAAAAATGTTTTTTTTTTGCGTTCTGCAAGTGAAGTAAAATGATTTAATTCATTGTGTATAAGGAAAAACAAACCAAGTTATAAGGTTTGATTCAATCCTCATAAATAAAGTGAAGGGAAAGACCAGTCACTAAAACTTAGGAAGTATGAATGAAATATTAGTGAATTTAATATTGTATAGAATGTATGTCGGCTGCATTGACAGTATGAACCAACATATTGGAGTAACTAGCATTGCTACATGTCAACACAATATATTCTTACTTTTGGACAGACGAACTATTCTAACCATCTCAATTCGTTTTGTCATTCATACATGTGACATTGAGTATATGTGTATAATTGCACGTTGAGTCTAAATGCTTCATTGTATCTCTCATGCCTATAAATGTTGAGTCACGTTTTAGTTAAATAGAGTAAGCGTGTCAGCCTTTCCCATCACTCATCTTAACGTCTAAATAAACGAGTGCCTGAAATAAATCCCTTCACTTTAATTCGCATTTGGCTTTCTACCAACACTGTTGCTCAAACGGCATCAGTTTAATTTACTTACTCACTTAGGCCTGTTACCTCTCATGGAGGAGCATGGACCGCTCACCAGCATTCTTCATCCAACTCTGCACTGAGCAATCCTTTCCAGTTGCTATTCATCTTATTCATGTTTGCTTTTAATTCTCGAGGCAGTGTGGTTTTGGTCTTCTTCATTTTCATTTCCCTTCAGGATTACAAATTAGTGTTTGCTTCGTAATGCAGTTTCATGGTTTCCTCAATGTGTGTCCTATCTACTTCCAACATCTTTTCCTAATTTCCTCCTCAGCTGGAAGCTGTTTGTTCTCTCCCACACTAGGCTGCTACTGATGGTATCCAGTCAACGGACATTGACTATCTATAGTAGACAATTGTTTATAAATATACTTGTACTGTTTTGATGATGGATGTGGTAGTTATCCACGTCTCAGCTTCGTACAGTAGAACTGACTGTCTTGACGTTAGTATTGAAGATTCTGACTTTGATATTGGTTGAGAGACAGTTATTTTGAGTTCCACATGTTCTTCAAGTATAGGGATGCCGTTGTTGCCTTACCGACCCTCGCCTTTACGTCTGCATCAGATTCTCCACGTTCATCGATGACGCTGCACAAGTAAGTGAAAGTTTCCACATTTTCCAGGTCTTCTCCATCAAGTGTGATTGAGTTGGTGTTCTCTGTGTTGTATCTGAGAATCTTGCTTGTTCCCTTGTGTATGTTGAGGCCTACTGATGCAGAGGCTGCTGCTACACTGGTTGTCTTCATGTGCATTTGTTGAAGTGTAAGAGATAGAAAGGCCAAATCGTCTAAATACATCCAACCTGTCCGTTGTATTCCGTGCTTCCCCTCAGATGTGAAGGTCTTCATAATTCAGTCAACCACTAGAAGAGAAAGGAAAAGATTAGGCAGCCTTGTCTGACAACGGTCCTTACTTGGAATACGTCTGTTAGCTGTCCTCCATGTAGCACTTTGCACTGTAGACTGTCGTATGAATTACAGATAATGGTGACGATTTTCGCAGGTACTCCATAGTATCGAAGAAGGTTCCATAATGTTCTCCTATCCACACTGTCAAATGCTTTCTCATAATCAAGGAAGTTGATGTATAGTGAAGAGTTACATTCAATCGATCAGTCAACAATGATCAGTAGTGTCACGATATGGTCTGTGCACGACAGATTCCTACGGAATCCAGCCTCTTGATCTCGAAGTTGGGCGTCTACTGCGTCTTTCATCCGGTTCAGCAACACTGTTGAAAACTTATCCTTGTACTAGTAGTAGTGTGATGCCTCTTTGTTTCTTACACTTGCTGGGATCTCCATACTTTGGAATCTTGGTGAGGTGTCCTTCTTTCCAGTCTGTCGGCACTTGTTCTTCCTCCCAAATCTTTATGAATAGAGTGTGTAACATGTTTGCAATCACTTCTATGTCTGATTTCAGTGCCTCAGATGGTATATTGTCAGGTACTGCTGTTTTCCCACTCTTGATTTATCTAATCGTCATCCTGCTTTCTTCGATCGTTGGTGCAGTGACATCTATAGAATTATCTGTGTATGTTGCTCCGATGTCCAGTGGATTCAACGGAAATGGTTTGCTTAAGTCTTCATCAAATTATTCTGCCCATCTCTTCCTCTGCCCTTGATTTCAGTGATTGGCTTGCCTTCTTTGTCCTTGATCGGTCTCCCTGGTTTACTACAGTTTCCTGCAAGTTTCTTTGTTGTCATACAGTTGTTTCATATTTCCTTCTCTTACAGCTTTTTCCGCGGTCTTTCACGCATTTCTGCTTGCCGGCTCTAATGCTCTTCTTCATCTGCTTGTTTGCTTCTGTGCATTCGGTGTGCCTTGACTTTCTCCGTTCTTGTTCGTCTGTTGTTCATTGCTGTCTTCTTGTTCTTCCTATCTTGAATCTTGACCAGGATTTCCATAGAGATCCATTCCTTATGATGATGCTTCTTGTGGCCCAGAACCTCCCGACACATTGAAATTAATGCTTCTTTCATCCCTTTCCGACTGTCCTCCATAGTAGTTTTTTCTTTCAGTATATCCTGTAAGGATTGGAACCTGTTGTTGAGAGTTATATTGAATTCGTTGAGTTTGTCAGTATCTCGAAGGAATTCTGTATTGAACCTTTGTAATGCTGTTTCCCCAGTTGTCCGTTGTTTTTTTAGCTTCAGTTTCATTTTGACAACCACTATATAGATGGTGACATGAAGCTATGTCAGCTCCTCTCCTGGTTCTCACATCTTCCATTGACCTTATGAATTTCTTACTGATGCAAATATGATCTATCTGGTTATCCGTGGTGTCTTCTAATGAGACCCATGTAGCCTTTTGTATGCATTTGTGTGGGAATTTAGTGCTACCTATAACCGTTTTGTTAAACGCACATAAATTTGCAATTCCCTTGCCATTCTCATTCCTTTTTCCCAGTCCATGTCGTCCCATGATATCTTCACACCCGTTGTTGTCTACTCCGACTTCTATAGATGAAGTTGCAATGTGTTTACTATTCTAAGTGATTCAACATTAATTACACTGTGCTTAGACGTTAGCTGGTTGGCACTCACCAGTAAGACGAACGTGCGATCCTTAGAGGACTGATTATTCCTGTGAAGTTCAAACAGGCCTCATCTAGGTTTGTATTGAGTCATTACCACTGAGCTACTCTGGTCATGAATGATCTCTTGTAGGACTGGGATGTTTATAATAAAAATGCTGATGAAACTAAATTAGAATACTATACAGAACGATTCCCTTAAGAATAGAAACTTTATTCCAAGGGAAGAAATAAAATGACGAGAAAAAAAACTATAGTAGATCCTAATTTACCCTCTAAGTTGAATGTTGGCGAATTCCAGCAACGAGGCAGATTCAGTTCCCATGAGTTGAGTACGCGATAACTAGGAGTATTAAGAACAAAAAAAAGATTTACATAGAGATACCTGGAACGACAAAAAAGTTGATGTGTTAAAAATTGGAAAAATAATACCGTTAACGACACTACTGTCATAGTCTTAGTTTTTTGTACTGATTTTCACAGGTTGTCACTTACAACATACATTTAGTGAAGTCAAAACCACACGACTTTTATGGTGGAAATATTATGTTAAAGTGAATTTCCGAAGACATATCATTTATCTTATTCCTCACATAACAAGAATTAACCATGATGTACTAGGTATGCTATTTATCATATACATGATTGGGTGGTCCTGACTGAGGTAAGGACGTCAAAACTCGGCAGTGATCCATGAACTGGATAGTTAAATAATAACACATAGACCAGTTCAGTGTTAAAGAACTGATAAAAATAATAGATAAATCAAAAATAACAACTGAAATTTGTGATATCGTCATTTTTATCTAGTCTAACAATCCCACCTAAACCTTGGCAAATGCGAATAATAAAGTAACATGACCAATAATCCACTATTCGATCATTACCAATATAGAACCTAGTACGCGTATGTATTAGTTCAAGTTGCAACACCTCATATCACCACAACGACAACAGATAAACAAGATGAGACAAAAAAAGAATTGATTTAGACGCCAATTGAAATTTGATCGTAAGGAATAGTTTAAAAGGAAAAATTTTAGTCAAAAAGTCAAAAGTTAAGAATAACATTTAACTTAAGAGCTGGTGGGATAAAAAGAATGAATACTAAATTTTGGACCGACGATTTAGATGCGTCCAATGCTTACCTGGTTATTTATTCTGCCCTATTACACTAGTTTGATGTGTGCTATCACCTTTTCTTTTTCCTTTTAAAGCTTTAGTTACTTGCTTTACTACTAATACATGAGACGATCTACAGTGACTAAGTTCTACATTAGTCTAAATAGTATGAAAAGATTGGAGGTACTTGACAAAAATTATCTTCGAAATATTGTTCGACCGCGATTAAAGCATCGAGTACATATTACTATAGCTAGTCGATGAAGTTATATCACTAGATATCTCAAAATATTACGATATCTGAAGCGAAAAAGTGGAAAACATTCCATGATGATTAAATCAGCTGAAGCTATTAAACACTACTGCGGAGCGTGTATGAAGCTGTAAACCATTTGATTTGGATCCTTGTAACAACTGTAACCAGTGACCAGAAAATTTGAGCTACGTAGCTCAAGGCCAATGGTGATCCCAACAGATATTTACTAATTCGTATGACGATAAACAGAAGTACGTAAACGGTTAAGTCATACACTCACAAGTTATTTGACACCAACAGTGAGTTTAACGAGAATATTTATCATCCATGCATTCAAACACAAACAATGAACAAAATTGGACCAAAGTTACATACTCATATTTTAGAAAATCTTACCTATTATTGCCATTATGTTCACTGGTAAACACACAAACCATCTCCAGTACATAACACATTCTTGAAAAAACTGAACCTGCACAAATGTATGGATCGATCAAACTTTTTAATTCTCCAGATGAACTCATAAATAATGATCCAGAATACCGAACAGATTCAAGATCAAGATCTATGATGAAAATTGAAACAGTAAACACAGAAAACTTGAGAATTATCTGAAAGTTTTATTAATATTACTGATGCTACCAACAATAATATTTACGAAAACAGAGACAGTTGGGTTATGGCTAACAGTATAATTCAGTACGCGCGTTACACCCTATACGCGATTAGTTAGTTGGATGTACCTGGATTCGAGTATTTACGTTCACATCAGCACAAAACTCAAAATCTTTCACTTCAAATACCTAATCAGTTATCTATTGAGTCCGGATAGTCGCGTACTTGTGTAACAGATGCAGCATGATGAACTGGTCAAAACTCAGTTAACAATATGAACAACAGGACAATCCAAGCACTTTTAATAATTATTGTTTATAAAACAGAAAGAGTTGCGAATAAAAAATTGCAATGAATTATAGTAGTAGTATCATGACTTATGACTGTTTAAAAGTCATCACTAAAGATTGATGAGCTCTGAATTAACTACCGCTATGTGAGGTTGATTAACGTTTTATTGGTTTGGTAATAAGTTCTAAAGAAATATTTACAAAGTATCATTAGATGACTTATGGGGGTTTATCTAATATTGCACATATAGAATTACTGTGGTAACAGAGGCAAGTTTTATTTTTGTGTAGATTGTGATTGGTTTAGTTGATGTCAATAAGTTGGTCCAATATTTGCTCCTATCCAAGAAGTAAAAAAGCTAGTCGGTTGATTAATCTTTTTACTAGCGAAATAACACAAAATACTTGACACGGTAATAAACGTGATTAAATAACGTCTGAAACACGGTATATGGGTTTTCGACGTAATTCATCAGCCTTTGAAATGAAGACTTGGTTATCAAGCAATATATACGGTTAGCTCAATAAAACAAAACCTACCTGACAGACAATGACGCACAATACTCCTCTGTTTTCTTTGTGCAGTATTATCTTTACATCGGCTCGCAAATACTAGCAACCATTGGTCCACTTCCTCATCGTCATAGTAATCGAATAAAATATCTTCAGACCTTGGTGATAAGCAGTTTTATGTATTAAGAAAAATAATGAGCTTACAAACATATGCCGCTTATAAACTATATAATGCAAGTTGGTAAGGAAGTACAAGTGCGTATATTGGGGTGTGAGACATACTTTTTGTGTCAAGGATATTAATTCTCATGCATTTCCTGAACCGAAGTAAAAGCCATATTACAATAGTCATTTTGATTGAAAATATATCGAAGTGAAATTTCGGGAATCAGTCGATATTTTTTCAGCAAGTTACACAGCAGAACGGTGCAAAAACCGGTGACCTTACATAGATTGGTTTTTGCAGTGAGTATGGTTTAGAAATATAACTTTTGGTACTTAATTTTCAATAAATAGTGTTTTGTGACTATGAAATGGCTATCTTTCTCTTTTGATAAGTTTTTTGTGCCAAAAGCTACAAAAACTGCTAATATGGAACTAATTCCAGATTCATTTCATTTACATTACTCGAAAAAATTAGTGTATGATTATAAGTACCTTGAAGACAGAAACATCGACTTGAATAGTCGCCGCCCTTGCTTGTCACGAGATATGCACAGTACTCATATCTCCTACAGTACTACAACAAATCTTAAAACCACAAAAACTAACCTTATCGTTTGTAAAACGTTTTACTTGTATGATACGATGTTCGTATTGCTGATGCCAACCGAAACAGACATAAAAGCTAAATCTTACGCCTAGCTGGATTTGGAATTGGATTAGGATAAATGAATATACTAATATGACTGCATCACAGAATCTCCAACAACGTAAAACAAATAAAAACGAAGCGTTAAATGCTCGAAATCCTAGTGGATCGATTCATTCACGAAAACGAGTCATAGTTGATTGCCATAAATCTTATTCAAGTTTAGAATTTACTAGTAAAAGGGATATCAAATAGAACAAGCTAACCTAACAACTAATATCGTTAACCGTTCATCTTTCAGAGCTGTGGTTCATAGGTTAGGGACTAATTTAAGACAATTAGTCAGAAGCTAGAACCCGAATAAAGATTGAACTGTTAAGTAGCAGATATCACTGATTAATGATGGGATGTAAACAATTTTCAGGATTATCTAGTCAGTCAGTCAGCTACAACGTAAGACCAGGCACATATATGCATCGGTCCAAGTTGCCATACCTCATTAACACAACAAGATGGACACCGGATTCATAAAAGTAGTTAATTCAGAGGTGGTAATATATAAAAGAAGGATTGCAATAAGGATATAGTACAGGAAGAAAGAATTATTTCATAGAAAGGAAGATATGAGGCGATTTTAATCTCTGAGTTTAAGGGAAGATAGAGAGTGTATACACCGACGCCATTGTGATCGATTCTGAGCCATGTCACCAAGAGTCTCCAACCATTGGTTACGATTGTCACGTGGACCCCAACCAAGTAGTCTGTATCTACCAACATGGCTCACACTAAAAGTTAGTGACTTCAAGCACTGATGACACGTTTTGGTTTGGTCGCCACTAACTTTCTTCCAACCATCCCCAATACTAGTCAGCATTGCGCGTCGTGGTAATTGGTGTTCAGACATACGTAATACGTGGCTCAACCATCTCAGTCGATGAAGATTCACAACCTCATCAACTGATTTACCATCATTTCCTAATACCTTGCGTCTGACCACACTATTATTGACCCGGGGATCTCAGAAGATGCCAGTAATATTTCTAAGACATCTGTGGTCAAATACTAGTAGCTTACGGGTATCTTCAACTCCTAATGTTCACGTTTCTCAGCCGTAAATTAGAACAGAACAGAACACACGGATATCTGGCCTTCGCCATAGGCGACAAAAGTTGGCAAAATCCAAACGAACTTTTCGAATCCGTGCTGAGATTTCGTCAGACACCAACCCATTAGGGCTGATCAGACTCCCAACATAAGTGAAGTTGTCAACGCGTTCGACTACTCCACTTCCTATCCTTAGTTCAGGTGTTGACGCAGACCAGTCCTGAAGAAACAACTTGCATTTAGAGTGAGAGAAGAGCATTCCAAACATTCTGGCATGGTTTCTTAGTGCTACCAAAAGACTCTGCATTGTATCAGCATCTTCACCAAACAGGAATATGTCATCTGCGTATTCTAAGTCGATAAGTGGGCCTCCTGGAAGGAGATCAATACCCGAGAATTCAGTAGACAAGAATGTTATTTCCAACAGTAGGTCTATGATGAAGTTAAACAAAAATGGAGAAAGTGGACAGCCTTGACGGACACCATTTGAGGTTGCAAAAGCAGATGACAGTTTGCCATAAGCTCTGACTCGACTGGTAGTGTTCGAGTAAAGAGCCTTCACAAGGTTTATGTACTTCTGAGGTACCCCTTTCAATGACAAACACTGCCACAGAATCTCTCGGCCTACAGAGTTAAATGCTGCTTTTAAGTCAAGAAGGGCCACCGTTGTCGGACGCCGATAATAATGCCTGTGTTCTAAAAACCTGACGAATAGTGAATACGTGGTCGATGCAGCCACGACCAGGTCTGAAGCCAGCCTCGTTTTTTCGTGTTTGTAGTCCATGAATCTTTGTTAGGCGCCCGATAATTATCGAGGCTAGTATTTTACATGTTATATTAGTCAAACTAATCCTTCTATGGTTGTCACAGGATGACTTTGACCCTTTTTTATATGTTGGGACAATCAGTGATTGTGACCAGTCAGATGGGATTACATCCACCTCCTAGATTTTAGCTAAGATATTAATCGACCTAACTGCTAAAATTGAACCACTATACTTAAAGACCTCTGGAGCCAATCCATCTGGACCAGCTGCCCTTCCTCGTTTCAGATTAACTATAGCCTTTCGGACTTCTGCTAGAGTTGGGGGACCTACTTCAATGTTCCATTCACACTGTCTGGGAATGGGGGAGTTGTAGAGTAGCTGAAGGCCAGCTAAACTGTTCTCTGAAATGTTCCGCCCATCGTTCTAAACATCTGGACTGGGAGCAGATGAGGGTGTCGTCTTTTTCCGAAATAGTCTCACTTACACTTGACTTATTAATTCCAGTTTCTTTTATTAGTCTGTAGAGCTGTCTTGTGTTCCCTATAGCCGCCACCTTTTCCATCTCTTTTGCTTTCGTTGCCCACCACTGCTCATGGTCGTTCCTTAGACTTTTGCTTAACCTAGATCTGATTTGTTTTCGCTCTTCATCGTGTTCAGAGCCTGATGGGATGAGTTTACAAGAATCCATCAGTGCAATAAACCTAGAGGAAATCCATTGGTTCCTTGTAACCCTGTGGTTTAAATCACTGATAGATATCACTGCTGTTTGTATAGCTTTCCAAGCAACATCTGGGTCAGCCTCGTTTTCAGAACTACCTAAGTGTGACCTCAGTTGTTCCTGGAACCTACTTTTGGTTTTCTCGCTACTCAATTCAGTTCTAATGGCTCTTTTTAGTGTGGCTTATTTGCGTCCAGTGAGGCGCAAACAGATGCGTGCCCGTATTAGGGCATGGTCGGAGTCCAAGCAGGTACTCCAGAATGAGCGACAATCTCCTACCGACCCTCTCCAACGATGACTGATGGCAATATGGTCTATTTGAGTCCATCGTTGGTTTGGTGTATGGGGTCGCCATGTTAAACGATGTCTCTCTTTATGCTTGAAATTTATGTTTACTAAAAATAAACGATTGTCTGAGCACAGTCACAGCAGACGATCCCCATTATCTGTTCGTTGTACCGGAATACTAAAATACCCACCTAAATGCCTTTTTGTTTGGTTTAAACTACCTATCTGGGCATTAAAGTCACCTGCTACGAGTACTATGTCTGAGCGTTTAGCTATCTGAAGAAGTTCAGATAGCTTTCTGTAAAATTCATCTTTCACTTCATCTGAGCTGCAGTCGGTGGGAGCGTAGGCAGAAACGACAAAAAGGCGACGACGTGTGTTCCTATCCTTCCGAGTTCTTACGGAGCCGTTTAGCCCAACAGCACATAAACGACTGTTAATGGGGATCCACTCTAACAGTGCTTGTTCCGCCCTCATGCTTAGTGCTATCCCTACTCCTGCCAGTCCACGAGAGCTGGCCATCGGGTCACCAGATACATGGAGGGTGTATCTCGTTGGCTCTCCGTTTTGCCGAGGTGAGGTCAAGTGAATGACCACACTGGGATCTTGTACTCGTGTTTCAGAGACACAGCATACATCAATGGTACGAGATTCTAGGGTTCTAATCAGGGAAGCCTGTTGAACGATTTGACGCAGGGTGCGTACGTTGAAGGCTCCAATGTGTAGTTTGGAGTGAGGTTTCAGTAGACCTGGGACAGGGTTTTGCGCACTAGAATCGTTGGCTGTGGTGACACTTGATGGGGAAGCCGAAAGAGGAAGTTTAGAGGTGAAAGTCGATGTAGGAGGAATAATAGGAATTGAAGATGGAGGTTGATTATGAATACAGTGGTCTTGAGTGATGTTAGAGGATTATCTAACACAAACATAATTGTAATGTTTAGAATCCATCACACATAAAGAACCAAAAAATACAAGGCGGATTAGCAACCAAGTCCAATATTGTATATTAAATACTGAGTCACAACTGTTTAGTAAGGATTGCAGATACTACCCTGCGGCGTCTAATTGGTTTTGGTGTTCGGTTTTCACCTACTAATTCCAAGATCCGAGCCTCACTCGCCCTACTTTAATTTGAGCAACCGAGTAGTATCATTAGTCCTCACGTTTAGAGCGTGGCTCATATCCAAGTACCTAAATACATACAGCCCTGCTGTGAAAACCAAGGGAAGCGAAGTTCAAACCTATAAGTCAACGAGTGACAACTGAATAATCAGATCACCGAGTAACAACCCGACTTCCACAAATATACTTTTTACTAGCTAATAAGTACAAGTATCACAAGACTAAAACATCATGTCATTTCAAGGGTTAGACACTATTTTACCTAATTAAAAATTATAAAGTAAAACCACTGCATTTTAAAATAGAAACAGGTAATTATTTTACTTATAAAGAGCCCAAAACTTTGGAGATTTAATTTAATTACTTTGCAGACTTCGGATTCACTGACTTTTGTTTATGTGGCTAAGTAAGTTTGATTAGTTGATAATAAATATACGTAACATACACAACCAAAGCTAGTAGGAAGACCCAATTGTTGCATTTCGTCCAACATTTTACATAACTCATCGACATAGCTACTAACAACACTGGTATTACTTTTTGAACTACTGAAGGAGAGAACATTTGGAATAGTTCTTTTAGTTGCTTGAGAACTAGCAGTTGGAAATACGAAATTTTGAGTTCTGAGTTCATGGTTTGAATCAGATGATGAGTCGCTCTCCGATATAACCGAGTCAGAATGAAGCAAATGTTTTAAGGTGTAGGAGACAGATGTAAAATACTTTCTTGATTGCAAAGGCTTCTTGATCGATGAGCAATTTACGTCAGTATTGTCGATTAGGTGTTTTTCTTCTTCTGAGGCGATCGCAAATGGCTGCTTATCGTTTTCTTCGGAATCAGAAAAAACTATATGCTTGGATACGATTGTGGGAACTGCCTCAATAATGTTGCGTTCGCTTTGTCGATTCACATTTTTCTTCTCGGGGAATTTAGATACATGATTAGAACTGTCTGCGTTGTTGAAATCTTGGTCCTTTTTTGATAATTCACTACACGTTCGAAAACCTTTGAAGCGGTCTCTATATAGAATTTTAGAAGTACAACTCAACATACCCCAAAAAGGCTCTTGTAAAAAAAAAGTTTATAGGGATGTTAACTTCAGGATCAAGGTAAAATTGCCATTGAGACAAAAATCGAACATGGCGCATATTAATGCAAACGACAGATGTTTGAGTAGTATTCAAACTCTCCTTGCAAATACTGCACCTGATGAATAAAATCAGCAGATTAGGGTATGATAAGATACAACTGTACAGAATAATTTATGATAATACAATACATTAATAATTAGTAGTTCGACGAACTAACAAAACTCGTAAAATAAAAAATGCCTAAACAGCTGTCGAAACCCAAACATGGATACACTAATTATTTGTACAGAGGAAAGTCAGAAAACGATCACCCTTCTGACGTCTAGTGTCCGAGTGATTAAGATATTACCTTAGTAAGAGCTCACTGACTTATGCATTGGACCTTTAACCACTGGATAACGGATAGTTTCCTTTAAGTTCAAACGAATGCTGAGTATCGCAAATGCTCCCATAATTTATGGTTTGCAACCTAGTTCATAAAGGGGTTTCTGAAACGTCAAGAAACCGACTAGTAGACTAGTAACCAATGTGCCTAAGTATGTTAAATGGTAGGTTTTTCCCAATCATCTTCAAACTCTTGCTGTTTCTCTCGAAATGACTGATGCTTGCATCGAAAAACGGCTTTTTCAACCAGTGCCATTCATATAAGTTCGCGAATTGGCCACGGTTCATTACATATCTGATTTTTGAATTTATGTTCGCTTACTGAAATAATTCTTCATTTGGGTATAAAAACTACATAATACTCCTAGGACGGATATGGTTCTCAATACAAAAGGCACGCGGTTCTTAGTCCATTCAGTCAGTAACAACGTAGAACTTCATACGTACGTACATCAGTTCAAGTTGACATACCACATTAGCACAGAGATTCAGTTGTCGATTCAAATCCTGTAGTGGTACAGGTAGTAAGAGTATAGGCATTAATCGGAAAGATTAGGGTTTGAAGTTGTTATTCAGAGAGTATAACCCAGTGAAATAAATTTGGAAAGAGAAAAAAAGGACATGAAGAATTCAAGAGACTAGAATTTGGAAAAACAAAAGGAGTGGATGCACCTGCACCATTGAAAACGATTTTGAGCCATATCATTCAAGGTCTCTAACCATCGGTTGCTATCATCTTGCGGATCCCAACCAGGTAGTCTACACCCACCAACATGACTCAGTTCACTTGTCAGTGGCTTCATGGATTTGTCCCATGTTTTGGTCTGGCCGCCCCAAACTTTTTTCTAACCTGTTCCTATACCACTGAACATCGCACGTCGAGGCAGTCGGTCGTTGGGCATACGTAACACGTGTCCCAGCCATCTCAACTGATGAAGTTTCACCACTCCATCAATCGATTTGACATCCTTACCTAGTACCCGTTTCCTAACAACTGCGTTACTTACTCGATGGTCCCAGGATATACGAGCAATGTTTCGAAGACACCTATGATCGAACACTAGTAACCTACGAATATCCTCTACTCTTACCGACCATGTTTCACTGCCATAAAGTAGGACGGAACGAACTGCTGCGCAGTAAACACGTCCTTTGGTTGATAGACGGATATCTCGCCTACGCCATAAATGACGCAAGTTGGCAAAAGTTAGTCGGGCCTTCTGTATCTGTGCTGAGATTTCGTCACACACCAGACCACAAGGGCTGATGAGACTTCCAGGATAAGTGAAGCGATCGACACACTCAACTACTTCACTCCCTATCACTAGTTCGGGTGTCAATTCAACCCAATCCTGAAGCAACATTTTGCATTTCGAGGGAGAGAATCGCATCCCGATCATGCTTGCATTGTTGCTTACAGTGGTCAGAAGACTGCATTTTGTCAGCGTCTTCACCAAATAAAACTATGTCATCTGCATATTCCAAGTCAACAAGTGAATCTCCTGGTAGAAGTTCAACCCCTGGAAATGTAGATGAGGAGAGTGTTATCTCTAAAAGCACATATACGACAAAGTTAACAAGAATGGAGGGAGTGGACAGCCCTGACGAAAACCACTTGAGGTAATCAATTCTGATGACAGTTCGCCATAAGCTCTCACTCAACCAGTTGTGTTTGAGTAGAGAGCCTGTATAAGGTTAATGTACTTCTTTGGAACTCCTTTCAGTAACAAACACTGCCATAGAACCTCACAATTAACATAGTCAAATGCCAACTTGAGGTCGAGGAATACTACGATTGTGGGGCGTCTGAATGTGTGTATATGTTCCAGGACCTGACGTAGTGTGAATATCTGGTCTACACAACCACATCCTGGTCGAAAACTAGCCTGGTTTTCTCTAGTCTGCTCTTCACGAGCTTTAGTAAGGCGTCGAAGTATTATTGAAGCTAACATTTTAGACTATATATATATAATTGGTCTTTCTTATATACTGTTACAATCAGTGATAGAGACCAGTCAAATGGGATTACGTCCAGTTCCCAGATTCTGCCTAAGACCTCAGTCAATCTCGCTGCCAATACTGGAACGCCATCGTAGTTCAGTGCGAAACTGATGTCTTGAACAAACCGAATAATTTTGTAGAGGATTCCCATTTATAGCTGAGGCAGAGAGATTGAAGCCGGACCACTTAATAAGACTACCATTATTATATATGAATCTAAGGATAAAGTCCCGTGTAGGAATAGTAAGTTTGACAGCTGGGTCGGATGATTAAATATATCTCACGCTAAAATGTAGAAGATAAGATAGCAAATAGAGGCGAGGCTACAGTCTCGCCCAACGTGCAAACACTTTAGATAGGTTATCCGAAGAGAGAGAGAGATAACTGAAGACCCTGTGCTCATAACTGATTATACTATGATATTTAAAATCTTTAAGATAATAACATACGGATGGACTGAAAAAATACCCCACATTGGTATAAACATAACTAATCTTTGTCTCTTTACCACTGAAAAGTAGGTAACCAATAAATATACGAACTTCCAACTGTCTATGACTTTCTGCTTATAGTGAAGGAAGACAGGTTTCTACCAATTTGGCACCATTAAGCTGAACATCGACGGCGTTTGTGAAAACAGATTGTACAAATTGTTCCACATTGTAGATTTGTGGTGATTGAGGTAGTTAAGTAATAGGGCTCTTGGGACGTAAGTGAATAAAAAAACGACCTGATATGATGGTCCCGAATCAAACTCATAGCTTAAGTTTGCGTGATTGGGATCATAATACATCCCTACAAGGATAAATATGGAACTTTCTGTGTAATCGACGATAGGTGGCAAGGGTAAACTAGACGCTATCTGAATAGAAGTCAGTGAGACATAGTGTACAATACATATTGTAATTCACGATCTCAGTCCTCCATAACTTGCGCCCCATGTGAATGAATTGCAAAAATTGATTAGTTTGTTTCCAATCTTATTCACGGATGATGTAAAGTTTTAAATGAAAACCCCGAATCGAAGTGGTAAACCTTACCTGCAAGTTGATTTAGAAGCTCAGATAAAAACCAGTGCGACTATAATCTATGGATGACCTTTGAACGATGAAAAGTAACCTTGAGAATATTTACCTGTTTACAAGAATAAAAGATAACTAAAAATTGGTGTGAGGAATTAATATTAGGATTTAGAATTGAATACCAGGGTTAGGAATAAGAGTTACTTCTTCAGCTAAAATGTCGAAATGTTACTGAGCCATTTAGGTGGGTGAATTTTCCTCACTATTTGAAAAGGTTAATGGTATTTTCCATCGCTGAGTTAATTTTATTGCTTTGACAGTCTACTACGCATCAAGACTACTGTTTTCACTTTAATTGAGCATACTTCAGTTAAGGTACCGTTTCTTCCCGAAAGTAATGAATAATCTGTACTTTTTGAGAACGTCAGTTCTTTTCATTGACTACACTTTTAAGTCTAACAGTTTATGGATTTTTGCTTATTTTCGGCCATCACATTTTTGTTTCTGGGTAGTGGTTGTGTCTAGTTTTTTGTAAACCTATGACTGACGACTGGATAGAGCAAAAAAGTAGTTGCTGACGTCAGGGTTGCCGATACCCTTGGAAAATGGCATACAGTACAATAAGTAGTACCACAGAGTTTGCACGTATCTAGTACTTGCGGATTCCAAACGGTTGTGTCGGCAATGCTGCTTAAACGCAAGCAGCTTGCTATCAAAGCAATGGTGAATGCTGCTAAAAGAAGCATGAGCAAGCGTAATCGAAACGCATCAAGTGGTACTTACCCTCTCGATACACAAAACGTTATGAAGCGATCTCATACAATGTCAGGGTCGACTGACTTACATGGGCCAATTGCAAAGGACCGATTTCAAAAAGGTATTTTAAAACTTAAGAAAGAAGGTTTCCTCCATTTTCAGCCCCTCAAACCTCAACAGGGGAGAAACGTCTGGAAACCTAGTCACAAAGCTAGGTCTGGCTCCAGCAGGAAAACGACAAGCTTACCACCAAAGCCGTTTAAAATCACCCACAGTACCACGGTGTGGGCAACGTGACTGTGGCTGTTATTCCAATGAAAGCGGATTAATAGGTACAAACCAGGGGTGAGAAACTACCTAATGTCTTTAAAAAAATCAACCTCCCAAATAGTTGAAAAATCGAAGGCAGATTAATGTAACAGTTAAGTTGTATCTCATCGAGCCAAGGAAAGTGAAGGTTGAGAACCCGAAACTCGCTTTAAGTATGATATTGAGTTGACGAAAGATCCACATAACCAGCTAATACCTCAAGATATCTCTGAGACCACCTTGCTGAGAGTATATATACTAGACAACCAAACTGACTTAAAATAGAATCAAACCAAGCTGCTAAATGTGGTATTTAGTCCTCCTAATTAAAGGGACCTAATACTATAGAATGTACATAAACTAAATGGGTCAGGAGTTTTTGTATGTAGAGACATGCCTCTCACGAATCATATGAAGAGACAAAAAGCTGGAAAGAACTCAAACTGGGGTAAAACGCTTGTGAGACTGACTTTAGAATTATAAATTTTCCAACTTTGATGGAGGATGATGCCAAAACCACATCTGGCGCACCTTGCTCAACAAGCGAATGGAGATACATGTACAGGTAGATCCTACCAAGCTGTCATAGGAACTTCACTGAAGTAGTCTGTAGACAGTTATGAACCGGATTTTGAAAGTTTGACATTAGTAAAAGCCGTCAGAACACAGAAGCGTGAAGGAGGAAGAGAAGTAGCCTTATTCATTGGAAGTAATATCCTCTTTAACATTATCGATAACGTATCCCATGAAAGTGGAAGGTGGAAGTGGAATACTCTAAACGCGTATATTCGTACATAAACCAGAGGACTAAAAAAATAGGCGATATCCCAGCATTATAGGCAGGTGGTAGTACTGCATCGTTAGTGGAGGACGACTTTGGCAAACCCTAATTATTCACGGATTACTCTAACAAAATATATACAATGTAGATGCTCCCCACTTTAATTCATACAAACCCACCCACCCACACTCTAGACACTGTGGCTATCAAAAAATCCGATGTCATTGGTCTGCCGAAGAAGCTTGACACAGGCAAATCCATGGAACCAGATGAAATGTACCTTAGGTTAAAAAATGAATTAGAAAATCCTGTAGCAGATTCATTAAGTACGCGTTTTAAACTTCTTGTAACCCAGAGCAAATTACCGAAGGGTTGGAAGAAAGTTTAAGTCCCTCCTTCGAAAGAGGTACTAGACGCAAGCATGAGAAATATCGACCTATAAGCTTAACCAATGTGTTTTCCAAAATTTAAGAGAAAATTACTTGGAAGGAGTTGTTTAAACATCTCAGTTTCATTTTGGAAAGGACAGGAGGCCTGATGGCCTGTGTTAGTCCTGGCAATGCTGGTCTCTTAGTTGATCCAACTTTCTTTTGAAAGAATCGACGGATGGAGCCTCAACCACGTGCTAAGGTAATGAGTTCCACTCGTTGATGATTCGATGGGAAAGTCGATAGTCAGCTGACAAGTAATTTGTTCTAAGCTTGTGAAATTTTTGGAGTGTCCTCGTAAATCCTCTGTTTTGGAAGACAAGAAAAACGAGGGCATAGCAGGTGCGAATTTATCACTAAGAGATTTGAAAACTGCAATCAAGGCGCCTCTAGTTCCACGATATGACAAGGAAACAGGTTTAGCTTGGCCAGTCGAGCATCATACGGAAGCTTGGCTATTCCGGGAATCAGCTTAGTTGCTGTTCTCTGAACCTTTTCCAGAAGCTCACTGTCTTTTTTTAAGCAGGGGCTAGCCGCTTATATGCAGTACTCAAGTTTAGGACGTACGGATACTGTATACAAAGTTAAAAACGTTTTAGCGTCGACATGACTAAAAGCCCCACGTATTGACCATAAGGTTCTAAAACCTTTGGCGGCTATTGCATGGCGGTGTGCAGTAGTCTTTAAGTCTTCTCTGACTATGACTCCTAAGTCAGTATGTGTCTGGACAACAAGTAGCTCAGTGTTATTCATCGTGTATGTATCTGTACCTTGATGACCGATATGCATCACAACACACTTGGAAGTATTAATTGGCAACTGCCAGGTTTGAGACCATTCAGATAATTTCTTCAGGTCATTTTGGAATTCTAAGCTATCACCCTCACATCGTATCGTTCTCCATATCTTTACATCGTCAGTATATAGCAAGACCGATGATGATAGGAGACGAGGAGGGTCATTTAGATACAAGAGGAATAGCACTGGCCCCAAAATTGTGCCCTGAGGCACTCCACTAAGCACAGTTCTTCAGCTAGATAACTTTGAGTTCATTCGTACTCTTTGTTGACGCCAAACTAGGAAGTCTTTCATCCACATAAATAGATTGCCTCCAATCCCGACAATTCTTAACTTATATAATAGCCGGTTGTGCGGAACCTTGTAAAAAGCTCTGCTGAAATCAATGAAGGCTACGTCAACAGGTAACTTTTGGTCCTTAAGAGCGCACCAGCTTTCCTGAGCCACTAATAAGTTAGTGAGACAAGAGTAACCTATTCTGAAACCGTGCTGCTTCTCCGAAAGGATCCGGTTTTCATTGAGGTACTTAAACGGCTCCTTCCGAATAATCTTTTCTAAGGTTTTAACAACCACACTAGTTGAGCTAATGAGTCGGTAATTCTCAGATTTATGTCTCATACCTGTTTTGAAGACCGGACTTACTATGGCGTCCTTCCAGTCTTTTGGTAAACGAGCCTGCGTTACGGATATATTAAATCATATACTTAAAGGGTTCACAACGAACTTAAATAATTCCTTTAGTAGCCTAGGATGCAACTCATCGAGCCCCGTGAATTTACCTATGTCGAGCTTATTTAGTAGAGGAATTATCTGACTCTTCAGTTCGCGGATTTTCCAAGTCTACCATAGGTGCATTAAAGTCCCCTAGGATTAGACATCGACCACTATGTGACCAATTATTGAGACTGCTTAGCAGGACCTCATTTACCTCACAGCTTGAACTGCGATAGACCAAACCAATCAGCAGCTCTTGTCGTTTGCATTTCAAGCGACAACTAAGTAATTCACCCGTCCCACTCTCATGGGATACACTGTCGATAATGGCAAATAGGATAGCATTCCTAATTAATAGAGCTACTCCCCCTCCTTTACGCTTTTGTATTATGCCAGCCCTTACTAACGTAAAACCCTCGAAATCAAGTCCCATACTATCTATAGACTGCATCAGCCTGATTTCTGTAACTGCGATTATCTCTGGCTTCGTAGAGTCAACCTTTACACCTAGTTCTGATCGCTTATTGAGTAAGCTTCGGGCATTAGTGTAGCAGATCCGAAGCCTATTTAAGTGGCTTCGTGCTTCACCCAGAGTGGCTTTGGCATCATTCTCTGTCGAAGCCTTACAATCCGAAAATCTACAATTCTTATGTCCTTTTCGCCAGCGTCTAACCTAAGTTGTAGTTCTCTTTCGGCTTCCCGTCTTTTTACACTGTCTGCCAACGGCAAGTCTTTACGGACAGGAACCCCTGAACCCTTTAATTTATGTCCATTCCGTAAAATTAAGTTGCGTTCATCCGAAGATTTGAATACTACTTTAAGCAGTCTGGATTGATTAGGCTTCAAGTTCGCTAGACTGGCTAGTCTTTACACCTTTAGCAAGGTGACTCCGGGGATATTTTGAGGCATGAGTTGATTAAGTAGCTGTTTTATCAGCACAATGTCATGCTCAAAAAGAGTTTTGGGTTCAGAGCTTTCACTCTCCTTGATTCTATGAAACATAACTGATCTGTCACTGTGATTAGCCTTCGATTTCTCTACTACTTTTACGGGGGCAGGATTCCCTTTTATATCGTTATGTTGTTTCTTCCTTACAACATGTACCCATTCGTCAACGTCGCTTGGAGAAGCAACCGCAGTCGCGTCAAACATACCGTGGGATTCCGGGGGGTTGTCGAAGATCTGGGAGGCCAGGTTATGTTTCCCGCCAGAAACCGATCGAGCCTTGCGACTGCGGCTTCTAGGTGTTTCCTGCTGGATACCATTTAGAAGACGGGGGACAGAAGAAACGTCTTTCCTTGAGATTTCGGTTAAGAC